TGTTCTCGATTCACAAAAGAGCAGACCGAGTATCCCTATATTTTAGAAACTCTAGAATTTACTCAATCCACTGTAGCTCAGTCTAACCTCAGAGGTCAGAGAGCATTCCCAAGAGCTCTTATGGCATTTTTTCACACTCTGTAATACCAGTGATTTCCTAGAGGCAAATGTCCAGTTTATATATGACTACTTTGTGGACAACTAATGTAAAGAAGAAATATGGACTCAGTTGCTACCTCTTCTGAACAGAATAAGCTTTCAGATTACTTTTTGCCATGACTTGGGTCAGGATTCAACAGATATCAAAATATGTATGTGTACTTAACTCTCAGCACCCATCTAAGGTGGACTTTCTCTTCCAGTGTACCATTTAGTTTAGACATGTATAGTTTGAGAAAATGATTAGACCTATTTGCATTTTAATTTGATCCATACATTTGCATATATCCCAAGGAAAGCATAACCCTGCCTGCTCACAACAGTATATCCTGCTTTTATACCCCATCTTTCCCTCCTGCCCTTTTCCCCTGCTTCTGTCACTTCCCCACGCGGAACCTCACACACATACACTCACATGCAAACATCCCACCCTCACCTGTAGCTCTCAAGATGGCCAGCGTCAGGAAGACAGGTAAGATTATTTTGAATGTTACTTGGAACCTTGGCTCACCTGCCGCCCTGTTTCTCCTGTCTATCTTCCTCAGGCTTGTGGGCAGATTGTAATTTGTATCAGCCATGGCACCAAAACAGAATGACTTTGGCCCCATAGGGGCTAGGGCTTTTATACCTCAATGGATTTAGCATTTTTTTTGCACCAGTAATTTGTGAAATGGTACCCCGGAAGAGTTGTTTCACGTCCCCTGGGTCAGCTGAGTAGTTTATGTGGCTCCCAGAGAAGAGTTCACATTTCTTAAAATCAGCACCCAGGTCTGCCCAGAAGCTGCATGACTAAACGCAATTTGGATGGGGAAATGCTTTAGCCCCCCTGGTTGCACGTGCAAGGCTGCAAGGGCAGTTTTAGAGGGTTCCTTTATCTCCTCTTTTAATATGAGATGTCAGTTCCCACAGTGGATAGTCACATTAAGAATTAATTATTAAAATCCATATTTGTATTTGAAGGCTAGTTAGAATTCGCTGGAGGTTTGTAAGGGAACTGTCATTTTAGGATTAATCAGGGTTATGTTGGTAAGACTTGAAAACCAACACACAATTTCTGTGAAAGTCGTGAATCATTAAGATACCCCAGAGCTTTTAACAGTGATTCTCACACAACAGAATTTCATCCACCCTTCATCCAAGCCAGTCCTTACATAGGGAGGCCCGAAGTGTATCCGCACCTTGGCTTATGCTTTGCCAACCCTCTGCTTAAGCTCAGATCTGCTTCATCAGCCACGAGGTTGTTCAGGATTACCTCCCCTGCCAAAACCACCAATGAGGGCAAAGGCCATTTTATTAATCGTCCATATTGTGTGGGGTTTGTGGCCTCCTTATCAGAATGCAGTGGCGACATAGTGACTGCAGTAAACTGGTCCAATGTACAGCCCAGCATTTAAAATATTATATCCACATGAAGAGCAAAGCAAATGCCGAAAGGTTTTGAGTGATCATAGTGCCTCAGCTTCGCTCCCTTGCCTAGTTCTGTATTAGACAGCGGTTGCTCAAAGGACTGCCAGCATATATTCGCATCAAGCTAGGCAAGAGCATTATCTCCCCACACCTAGATCTTGGGAGCAGTTGGTGACAGTGCTTTACCAGCTCAGTACTCAACTTCCTCTTGAGTATTATGCATTTGATTACTCTCTTCATCAAGTTGTTGAGTCCCACTTCCATGATCTTATGGAAAATGCAGTAACTCTGAAAAGAAACTAATAATAATTATCCTGTACTGAGTGCCTACTACGTACCTTTATTTCTCACCACCTCATGAGATGTAGGCATTCTTACTCCCTTTCTATGGATGGAGGAAACTGAGGCACACAGAGTAACTCAGGGTAGCACAGCTAGTAAGTGTCAGAACCAGAATTAACAGCTTGGCTCTGACTCCAAAATCTATTCCCTTTCCGCTTCGCTGTAATACTTAAGAATAGCGGGGTGGATATGGACTACTTAAATCCTATCCTGGGACACTTTATAAATCCTTCTGCATTAGGCTACTGTAAAATTTGCACCTGAACCCAGACAAGTGAGGAAGGGGGACCTGTGCCTCTCACGTGTGACGGGCCTGGTTTCAGCCACGTCTGGGGGACAGAAGGGAGCTGAGCTTGGCCTTCCAGGCATGTCTGCAAAAGGCCGGCCCAGCAAGGCTGTTGTAGCCCCAGGACAGGCCACAATCCTTTGGCACACAGGCACACCTTCATTGTGTAACCTTAAATGGCACCCACTATGCTTATTATGGTTTTTTTAAAAGTGGTGTAATGACAATGGTTAACATTTGTTCAAAGATTACTCTGTGAGTGAATGAGCTGGGCCTTTGCCTGGTTTTCAGTGAAAGCCAGATTGGAACTAGCAGGCAAGTAGGCAGGGCCAGAAGAGAGCCTGGAGGCAGTTTTCAAGAAATGACTCTCTTAGACATTTGTGACCAAATTTTAGTTTGTTTGTATTTCCCTCAACTGATTTACTCTATTTTCTTCTCTGCTCTGACTCTCATTCTGAGGCTGAACATTCCCTCAAGATAACCCCTGTTATGCTGTCACACACCACCCAACCTCCAGGACACAATGCCTCTCACCCCTACCAAAACCATCCTGCTTGCCTTCTCTTCCTCTCAGGCTCAGTCCAAAGTGTCAGCTAACTGGTGTATTCATGTGAGAGGTAGTATATGTGCAAATTTCTTGGGGAGGTCTGGAGAATATCTCCTGCTTTTGTTTTCACTCATTATTGGATTTGGCCATGCAAAAAATATTTGGAGGAAAGACCAAACTCGTCACCTCTCATTGGAATGGCCTGGTATGTGTGCAAAGCTGGTCATTTGGACTCATGGCCAAGTGAATGGCTGGCGTGTCTGGGAAGCTATAAGCCAACTACGGCCTGTGCTAGGGACACATACACACTGTAGCAAATTAAAAAGAAGACCCATTTTGCATGATCCCCTAAAGTAAAAAAGATTTAGTTCTTTGTTGGTGTACCCGACGAGCTTTCCTGAACTTGGACATCTTAACCAGTAGTGATGAGGCTAAAAATCTGAAGCCAGGTTACTACCCCTTGTTTTAGAAAGATGTATTTAACTATCTAAGTACAAAAGTTTATCCTCATTCTACACATACTGAATTTGTTTCCTAAAGGTCACAGTCATATTGGAAATGTTTTCTTAAAATTAAAAACATCCTTAATTTCTGAATTAGGAAAATCTGCAGTAGTACACTGCTTTAATAGCCCTTTGGAGGACCTGAAGTACTGAGATTCTTAGTTTCACCCCTCGGCTCTGTGCTGGAGAGCACTATCACAAGAGAAGTCAAATATCTGTAATACTCTAACAGTCCATGCGAAGAAGTCATCCTAGACATTTTCCAAAATCAGAGGAAATGTTAGGAGTTACAGATTAAAAGCCAGTTAAGCCACTATTGATTTTTAAAATTGAGCAAGAACGTTCACTTGGATCTCAGGGCTTGTAGGAAAAAATATTTTTAAACCTTAGCTTGAATTTGGTGTCCATAAGGTGGGAACTGATTTGAAAACTACAGAACTAGAGCAAAGCATAACATATGGTTGGGAACCAAAATTTAAAATAAGGGGGAACAAGAAGAGACCTCTTGATGCTGTTGCATGCAGCGCGGTAGCTCTGCCCCTGCCCAGCGCACCCCCCGCCTAAACTCCCAGCGGATGAGCTGCATCCCCCTGCAATAAGGACCACTTTAGGAAGTAACCACTTCCTCGATTTGGCTCACAGCCACCTTGCTGCAGAATGGAGCAGTCATAGATGTGTAGTGGTAACATTTGTGAATGGGTAGGTACTGCCAAAACCAGCACATCTATTTCCCATTGATACGATGCGAGTGAAAAACTCCCGGCTGTTTTTTTTTTTTTTTTCTTTTTCCACCTCGAGGACAAGGTAACAGATGTGGGCTCTTCCTGTGAGCTCAGCCTAGTCACAAATATTGCCGCTACATGTGCAGAATCAAACAAGAACAGCATAATACAGCATAGCTTGCACATATCTTTCATATGTGATATCTTCACGACGGAGATGTTATCTAAATAGGGAGGGTTTTTGTTGTGTTTTGTTTTAGTTTCAGTAACATTCCAGTCAATAAGGTGTAGCTACCTTATTGACAGGACAGACGAGCATACCCTCCATGCATTATTAAGATCTACTTTGATGGCACAGAATCCTCCCCTGTACAGAAATGGTGGTTGTAGGGACTAATCAGACCATTTTTGTATGTTTTCATCAGACTCTTTGTTTGGCTGGAACTCTGCACTCCTTACTGCTTGCATGTTTACTAATTTATTATTAAAACCCCCGTATTTGCCTTTGTTCTTTCACAACTAACACACTGGCCTCTGAATGCATGAGTTTTGTGTGAACTGGTGTGTGACTTAGCAACTAATAAATGTATCACTTGTTATATTTTCAGATCTTAAAAATATAACTGGAATTACTGTACTAAAACATTTTTTACATTAAGTGATAAAAATAAGGCAGAATATGAATATGTTGTACACTTAATTTACCATTATGAGCTCTTAGAATCATTTTATCCCTTCTCCATTTTAGCTTTTTATCTATTTGTATAGGAAACTTCATTATTGGCTTTCTAGTTGAAGAGTCTGATTCTGTGTGCTAACATGTGAACAATCCATTGCAGTTATGACATTAGGAAGGTAAAATTCCAGCATTCCTGTGTTGTGAAGGGCAGAGAATCTCCCCGTAGCTAAACCTTTGCACTAGTGGCCTGTGGAAATAGGAATCAGAGGGTTTGTTCTGAACCCACTTTTCAGATATATGAAAAAGATGTTAGGCAATCACATAATATTTATGTCATGTGTTCTCAACGTCTCAGGACTCTGTCTCCTGCCAAGTCTCCCTCTTCATCAACTGGGTCTATTGCCTCCAGCAGAAAATACCCATACCCAATGCCTCCACTTCCTGATGAAGAGAAGAAAGTGAACCGACAAAGTGCCAGGGTACGTGGAAACTGCTGTATGCTAACAGCCTCGATCATTATTGTTCCTTTTTGAGTTCATAGTTTAAAAGAGCCATTTTTCCTTTTTTGTTTATAAAAAAATGAAAAAAAAAGGAAGATTTGCAAGATTCCATTGAAAAATGGAAGATTTGGGGGGGCTCAGATTTATTTTTGCAAATGAGCTTAATTACTGCATTGAGAAATGCTAGAGATATTTGGTATGTTTTAATCATTCATTGCTATATATTTTATTATACCTTGTAGCTAATATATTACAGTCTGAAATAAATAAAGCAGAGAATGTATTTTGCTTTATCAGTTTTTTAATATACCTGGAAATGCCAGAAATTAAATAAACTAGCCTCATTTCCATGTCTGATTTGTTTCCTCTCACTGGCTAATAACACCCAATAGGACTTTAGAAACCAGAACCTATGATAGAAATTTAGACTAGTGTCTTGGAGATGGGATGGAATTTGGATACAAGGATGGAATTTGGATACAATGAATTTGGATACATATGAAAATCTATAATATTGAAAAAAATATGGTAAAGTGTATGGTAAAATTTAGCAACCTTTTATATTTTAAAAAGCCAGATTTATAAACACGTAAAAGTTTGTTATTTATATAAAAATTTGGTTCATCAGAAATTTATTTACTTACTTTTTTTAGTTTGTCATTGGGCCTTCACATAGAAGAACCAATTCCTTTTTATTTTATTTTCTTATTGAGGAATTATATTAGTATAATATAGTAATATAATTTAGCATATGTTATACACAGTGTTGTATTAGTTTCAGGTGTGCCAGAAGTTTCTTTAAATACTGAGTCCTCTTTTATACTTTAATTATGGATCTACTTGGCCTCACAGTGTCCCCGGAACACATCCATTATGTGAAATTTGAGATACAGTTGAGTTTAGAGAGGCAGACTAGCCCTCAGAGGCTTAAGTGAAAGATATAACTAAAGAATAATTACTTTTATTGATATCCAGACTCTGTTGTGGTCAGTTACAGTGTAATGTGGTTCTTCTTGGAAATAATTTTGCAATAAGATAAAATAAAGCTTTAAAAGCCTGGGCAGATTTATCTGCTAGTGGGTCTTGGGTTCCTAGGATTTTTGGTTTTGAAAGATATTTCAGTGACTCTTTGATCCTGAACTTAAATAATGGGGTTCAAGGTAAACATATATCATTCAAATTTTACCTCGATCAACTCCTAGTCAGTAAGAAAACACAACTTGTTAAAAGCAGACTAGATTACTATAATCAAAAAGACTTGAAAACCAGTCAGTGGTGTTTTGTTAATTATATGAAGAAACACCTTCCTGTGTTAACACGGGTAATGGTAAAAGACGGAAAGGAAGAAGAAAATTCGGATTCCCAGCACTCAGCTTTCTGGTTTTAAAAAACACAATTGTTAATTGGCGTCCAGTTGTCCGTGACGTGAGTATGTTGTAATGAAATCCAAGGCTGATGGCATTCCTCAGGGAACGGTCAGAGTGTAACAGCCCAGTTTTGACCTCTGATAAATTGTCTACATTGCTGTATTGCTCTATCTAATGGGGGATGTTCTCTCAGCCGATGTCATGCCAGACTGCAGGTTATTAATGTTCCCACGTGAAAGCCCATGAAAATGTAAGCTCCCAGACATAGTGGCTGGCCCATGGCCTCTTCCCTGGGACAGTGGTGGGAAAGGTCAGGTGGATCCATCCACCATGGAACATCCCCAGGAGCACGTAGCAGAATCCTGCTGAGTAGGCAGCCCCTGTCTCTGGGCTGTCTTTGTGGGCTGTGGAGATGCAAACAAGCAGATCTTTGAATGAGCAACCCCTCCATCTAGAAATGGCCAGGCATGTCCGTTTCTGAAAGTGATGGCTGGGCAGTTCTTTGCTCCTTCTTCCGCCCTGGGATAAGGGTGGTCTTCTGGTTCCCCGGGTGCTGTCCTTTTCTTCTCCTTTCTGCAAGCTGTCACTGATTTTTATAATCATTTGTAAGAACGCTGGGCTCACTGAAGCTGAAGTCTGAACCCTTTACTACTCCGCACCATCGTCTGAGCATCGATCCAGATGCTCTTTCCCTGAGGCACCTTGCAGACGCCCTGTTTAACCATTCGTCTTCACTAGTCTCCACCAACAGGGGTCACTCACACACAAACATCCTTACCGTTGAGGGGTTCGGTCTCCAAAGGGTGAGAACGCAGGCGGCTTTCCCACAGTCTTTGTGGGGTAGCCAACATGGGTACGCAGAACAGGATTTCCATGAAGGTTCAAGAGAACCTATTAAGGGAACCTCTACAGAAACATCCACAGAGTCACTTAGCTCTTTCTGCTTTTTCTTTCCCAGAAACTCAGATATACAATGACATGCCCCAGATTTTCAGTAAAAATGGAATTTGGATATAATTTAAGTCACACCCGTCGTAGACTTTCTTTGTTCATGTTTATAAAAGTATACCCAAACCATATTGCCTGGAAACACAATTTTATCAGCTCGATCTCCCCCACCCCCCCCTTTTTTTTTAAATTGGCCGTCCTCTGGTGAACGCAGTTGCATTCATATTTGATCACGCCAAGGTCGTTTACCGTGCATTAAAGCGATTACTGAACCTTGTAGAAATTAGATATGAACAGGACCAGGGTACAGACCTGGTGGCAGAGGCAAGAGGTGAGGGAATTAAAGAATGGACACCCTGCCTTGGGTGCATCATTCTACTCTCATGGGTCTCCCGAGAGAGGCGAGCCTTCTAGGAGGTAGTGATGGATTTGGAGAGCGGATGGCCTGGCCGTAGGCACACAGCAGAGATTTCTCTAAGTGGTTGGGGGTGGAATTGACAGAATCACACTTCCCCAAGGTCCGTACTTCTCAGTGTTGGCTGCACATGGGAATTGTCTGAAGGGCTTTTAAACTATGCTAATGCCGGAGTCCCACCCAGAGAGATTTTGATTTAGCTGGTCCGGTGTGCTGTCTGGACTGTAGGATTTTTTAAAAAGCTCCCCAGATCATTGAAATGTGCAGCGGGGTTGAGACCCACTGCGCTAGTGAGCTTTATCAGGATCCTGGGGAAGAGAAGAACATGCGTGGTTTTAAAAAATAATATTTTAAATTATTTCATTGGTGATGTAATATTTAATTTATTCAAATTCTTGAGTAACATTAAATGAAGATGTGAGGGGTTTTATATTAAAAGGTGGCAGTTGCTAAAAAGGTTGAGACACAGGTTTAGAGGAAAGAGAAAGCTAAAGCTTTAATGAGTGTTTATTGTATCCACTTACTCGACTTGACAAGAGTGTGCTTCCATAACCATGTAAGTATGGATGGAATCACCAACTCTTTTTCATCTTCATAGCTCAGAATATACCTGTTTCCTGCTTTCACGGTGTGCAATTTTGCTTTTCTCTGTTGTGCAGCTATGGGAGACCTCCATTTAAGATCCACTGTTTACATGTGATACATCAAAACTGTTTACTTCAACTTTTATAGAAACCCAGCCTCACGGAATCACTGCAAATCTATCTGCTCTTCAGACAATACAGAGACCCTCTGAGATGCCCCAGAGGAGAGGAAGCCAAGTCTCACATCTGGATACCATTTTCTTTTTGTCATTGGCTTAGGATCTAAGTGAACCCTGAAAAGAACTACTGAAATGTTACACTATAACATGGGAACAATAAAGGTACTGGTATGCTCCTGGATAATCCGCATGACAGATATATGTAGAAATATCACTAAAGTTAACTCACATGACCCAAATGTAGCAAGTTTCCTAAGGGACAATAGTGGATTCAGAACTGACATTCTGAAGCACATCCTCATTGTAGACAGTAATGCTATGTGCATGAAGCTTCTGTTTATTGCAATTTCCACATTTAAGGAAACAACATCCCATAATAGAAACTAGCATGCAGGGCTAAGGCATCTAGGATTTGTCTGCAGGACTTTAAAGCTTTGAGAGGCCAATATCCCATATGCTAACTCTGAACATGTATCTTTATTATTTTTTTTTTTACTTCTCATATTTATATCAACATACAAGGAGAATTGTACATATGTAAACATTTTTAAAATAAAAGAAAGCAGCTGTTACACACAAGTATATTTTGCCAAATGCCTAAAAATAGTCACAGCCACATCATCATCATCCACCAAATGGTCTCTAAAAATGATAAGCAGATGATGTTGTAAATATAGTGGTCAGTGCTGTAAATGTGTCTCTCCATCATTGGTATGTGTCCAAACCATGTGATATCCCTTTAAACTGTGCACGGTCTGGAGGCAGTGTTATTGAGTAATTAATTGAACCAGAGAACAAAATGCCCAGCCTGCACAGCTGGCTGGGGCAGGGGTGGAGGGGTGAGGCTCCTCTCCTGCCCGCCTCCAGGCACTCCGATGCTGATGGCCACTCCCCGGGACTCCTGCAGCCGTCCCCCGTTCTCCTTCTGGGAGCTACAGTGCCTGCCTCCGCAGCTGTTAGCTTGCAGCACCAGAGCCCTGCTAGTTTCACCCTGGAGGCCTGTGAGCCCCTCGGCAGCACATCCTGCTGAGATGAAGCAAGTGCACCAAAGACACATGAGACCATGGGCCGCTGATACCTTGGTAGCTTCCAACTTGCCAATACGCCAACCCTTTGTGGCCTAAATTTTTGTTCTTTGACAAAACTTTTTAGCCACCCTTACCTGTAAAATGAATGACTTGTTTTAATACAACCAACTTTTACACTGTTTATTAAGGAGACTTCTCATCAGTAGGGGGGAGTCTGGCAGGCCATTTCGCCCTGATGGGGAAGCAAGATGGTGGAGAGTTCTACCGGCTGGGCTGGGGCGCCTGTGCGGGCCACTGCGGGCTTGAAGAAACCTAGCACATAAGTGTGCGGCAACTGTGAAGTTACCCCGACGGTTGGCAGGGAGAAGAATCCGAGGTTTTCAACTCTTATTTTTTTTTAATTCCTAGAAAAGTAAGAAATCTAAGTTCACGTCCCTCCTTTAAAGCCAAAGTTCGATAAGCTGTTACAACGCAGCTCTGTCATTTTAAAAGAAAACTTCCCTGGGGAGGCTACTCTAGTGAACTCAGAAATTGCTGGGAATCAGTCCGACGCTTTGATGTGAAGAGTACTTCTGAATTTCCTCATTTTCTCTCCTTTTTCCTTGAGAGGAATGGAATCTGCAGACAAGATTTCAGAAATATCCTCTAAATTGGATCTCTCCCAGTCGTGTCCACGGTCAAAATCCACTTCATCTCCATGTGTAGTCATCTTAGATGCCCGAACTGAAGGGCCATGTTAGAGGCAGCGTTTGATCCTTTCCTGATGTCTTCTGTAATGGACCTCTCTTCTGAAAGTCTTTAAAAACGTTTGACAAGCAATTTAATCATTCGAAACTGTAAAGTATAAACAGCATTTTTCATGGCAGGAGGGGATGTGATCGTCAATTCTACAATAAAATGATCCATCAGATTAAGATTTGGGTGAGTGTTGGGTGACCATGCCACAGAGCTCAAGTGAAGGACAGGAGGGCAGACAGATTTGAAAATGTAGCAAATAAAGTGGCTTTTGACCAAGATCACTTTCATGTGCACTGAATGTTTTCTGGTATTGAGTGTATAAAATGCTAATGTTATAAGGTTTATTTTGACTATAAAAGAGTTTATAGATTTGAATGTAAGGTACTTTGTGTAAATATGCTTCTTAGTTATGGTTACACAAACCCTCATTTGACAGAATTCACAAATGGTGAGCTACTTGTCCACATTTGACAGAATTCACAAATGGTGAGCCACTTGTGCACAGATCCCCTCACCTCCCCCCCTTCCTCACTTTCTCAGTTATTCTTACATGAAAATTATTGTTCCGAGTGAAAATTATTGTTACATGCCTTTTGAGAGACATGGGTGTTTATAGTCATCCTCCTTGATAATAACATTCCTATGGAACTGAATGAAAAGCATTTGTTTTACTTGCAGGGAGAGTATGGTTTTAGAGTAGCTTTAATGTTCTGGGTATCTGTCGAAGAATGTCTGAACATTCTTACAGCCATTTGCAGAATTCTTTGACAAGTTCATAATCTCAGTGGGTAGTTTTGAGAAATACTTCCAAGTGTAGTCATGGTTGGCATTTAGATGTATTAAATCTAAATAGTTGTGACTTTACATCCACGGAGGCAGGGAAAATGGACCTAAGGCACCAAACAGAAGCACAGCATATTATTTTTTTATTATCTCTTTTCGAGAGGAACTTTGCGGTCACCATAGCAGTTTGTATTATGCAACTAATATTTATAGCCCCCAGACAACTATAGGACCATTCTACTAAACAGAGGAGAGCAGTTATTTGGCCTTTCTGTTCCATTGTATGCCTTTTTCTTCTCTTTCTAAAGTTGTGTGCGTAGAGAAAAACTTCAGATTAACAACCTGCTGCCTGAGATGTTCCATTTGTCCATAGACATTGCAGAAGAGCAAACTCAGATTTAAAGCAACATTGAAATCCCTTTATTAAGAATGCCAACAAGGGGTATGGGGGGGAAGAGGGAGCCCCTGAAGGAACAGACGGGTCCAACTGACTGGTCTGTGTCCAGCCAACTCTTTCTTTAGTCAGGAAGTGGCATCCTCCTCTGGAGTCTCCCAACTGGAAAGTGATCCCCTGGTCACCTGCAAATCTGTGGAAAGGAGTAAACTCAGTGCAGCATAGTGAGAGAGTTTTCAATTTAGTGTTATTGCTCTATAAGAAACCCAGTGATGTTCCTTAAAAAAAAAAAAAAAAAATTGACTAATAAAGTAAATGTAGGGTTAAATTGTCAAACATACTTTTTAGTTTGAGATAGGTGCTTTATGAAGTGGTACTACAGTTTCTCTCATTTTCCCCTTGCTTTAAAAAGGCTTTTAGAATTGTCTTTATATATAAGGTCAGTCTGGTATAGATTTCTGAACATAAGATTGATAGGGTTTCTAAAAGAAGTTGCTGATAAAATTAGATCTTTTGTGCACTTCCAAAAAGGGACTATTTATATTTGAATTTCATAACAGCCTTACATTCCTTTTTTTTTCCTTCCGTTGATTCCCTTGCAGATTTGCATAATTTATTCCCGCCCATTGTCCCAGATCTCTTGTGGCTACTTTACCTTTTGCTTTTTTAGATTTTGTTCTTTACTTCTTATAATTACCTGTGGGCCAGAGGAAATACGGTATTTTTACTCACTTTAAGTGTTTTGAAATCAAGCTTGTTTGTTTATTTCATCCATCCTTCATTTCCTGTTGTCATGTCGTTCTGTTTTAACCTATATATTTAGTGTTTTTAAATATTCCCTTGTGTTGTTCAACATGATAATAAATCCTTACCTGAAGAGAAGACTCTTTTACTTTATTCTCCCTCTACGTGAAGGAAGGGTAGTTCATTGGGAGGATGCCAAGTGGCCCGGGGGCACAGAGATGTGTCACCGCATGATGGGAGTGAAGGGACGAAGAATGGCCAGCCCATTGCAGCCACAGCCTGACCAGGACACCACTGCTAGCCACTGCCAAGGGTGCCCCCATGTGCAGTGTATTAGAAATGCCACCCTACCAGTGAGTAAGTTCCCATGTTTTCCAGGAAATGCTCTGACTTGCATTGGCGGGTGTACCGTCTACGTTTCAGGGTCCTAATGGTCTTTTTCCTTTCACTTCTTAGGTGATCCCCTAAAACCGTCACCCACGTTTTTGTTGTTCAGTGAAGTCAAGGTGAATTTCTCATTCTGCTAGCTTAAATATATATAAGAAGCAAACATCTGTATGGAATAGAGTTTAATTTGAGGTTCAGTTTTTTTGCTTTTCCCCTCAGGTGTTTTCTGAATGGATAAAACTACTCTGATTTTGGATGCAGACTTTAGAAATCAGGGCATAATATTTCTGTTCACATTTTATTCATGGCTTTGTCAGAGTCCCCAAAATGGAGTGCCATCTGGTTCAGTTTATAAGTAGAAAAACAAAACATTCAAAAACAAGAACCTGCCTAGTATTTTTGTCCTTTATATCCAGGGCCTGACGAACAGTAAGCATCCTCCCTATGGAATTTGAGAGATGCTTCCAGACCCTTCCTACTTCCCAAGTTGCTCCCCACCAGTAGCTTGTCAGCCCTTTTCTTCTGACTAGGAACTGTCACTGTCATGGAGGTACGTCCCCTTTTTTCCCAGCTAAACTGACACTGGGGAGAACCACAGGGGTGCAGAATAGCGGGGAGAGAGGCACCTTTAGTCTCCTCCCTTTGGCAACTGGGCGTGGATTATGCAACTTCAGAAGTCACAGAGAGATTGGTCCTCAGGTGTGTTTCAGGATGGGGAGCAAGCCTTGGGAGGTCACGGGGCATTTAGTCCTGGCATAGCAGCAGAATGGAGACGCGCATGAACTCGGAAGCCAGGTGTGCAGAAGGTGGTCACTGGGGGTGCGGTGGGGACAGAGAGGCTACTCGAGTGCCTGCAATAGACCCGTGAGCTTTGCAGTTTTCCTGAGTGGTTGGCTCTATAAATACTTAACGGGCCGGTCCAAGATGCGCCAGTCATTCTTGCCTGGTGCGTCCCTGCTGCATTATTCATAAAACCTGTATTGTACTGAGAGGTGCTTCAAGCAAGGCTGGCAGAGTTTTGCTCCACGGCATCATTATTTCATGTTTTCAGAGATCAAAACCAGGGAAAATGTAGGGTGTTTTTGTTTTTTACAAAAAGGCATACAATGAGACGAGCGATCTTAAGGTAAGGCACTTACAAAATCATCAATAAAGTTTTCAAAGAGTTTATGAAGGACATTTTCCTTTCCAGTTAAAAAGTTTCAGAGGTGGATTTTTGTGTTCTAATGTTCAAGTTCTAAAATAATGTGACTTGCCCCCAAATCTTTAAACACAGCGGTGCTAAGTTATACCAGATAACACATTATGGAAAGTGCTGATATGAATTAATAATTTATTCAGTAATAATACAAGAGTTCCTGCTAAATTATACATGTATATCACTGCCTGATTAGAAACCCCACTTTTCTTTTCTAATGCAGCACAATATCCAACTGTGATTCTATAGCTGGTCTTTTTAATGGGCAAAAACGACCCAACACCTTTGTTTTATATGGAAAACTTTTTTTTTTTAACACTAACTTCAAAAGTGCTTAACAAAAGGCTTATTCAGGATAACTAAGCATGTAAGTCCTTTTTTAACCTGCTGGAAGAGATGTGCCCCTCCAATCTAGCATCCCCAAAAAGACAACTTCTTTTAGAAACTGGGCATTCTACCTAAACATAGCAGTTTATAGGTTAGCCAAGGTAGGTCTGCGCTAGTGTTGCCCACAACCGTCATCTCTAAGGGGTGATAGCCATTTACAGAGTGGAAGCCACTTCGTGGGCAAGTGTTAATAGCAGCCTGATTTCACTTTTGGTAACCAGGTGATCCTGTGCATATATACTTAAGATTGGCTTCATTTTAATATATTCTCTCTGCTCCTCTGCACTTCAGGTTCTTAAGCTATTTTAAAAGTAACTGGGTTTTGGCAATCACCAACTGAAATGTATATGGCAACTGCTTTCCTGAGCAGGCATGATATGTTTTATGGCTGTTCAAGTTATCAAGTTGTTCTTATATTGTAGGTAAACAAAATCTTACTGTTTTTAAAGGTCGCTGTAACTTGTTCAGATTTCTGGCACCATTTTATTAGTAACTCACTTCTGAAGCTGAAAAGATACCAGTTTTCTATGTTACTGTCATTGTAACACCAATAAAGTGACTTTCAATAAAAGATTTTATGTTATTTTGATGCCAGGCTCCCTTCAATCCTGTTCTCCCTGTCACTGTTTGTCTTTAGGAAGCCTGTCAGGTACTGTGAGGGGGTTGTTTCTTCTTTTTCTTGTCCATACTGCCCTCAGGGGCCCATCAGCACGATGAGAAACAAGAGACCCTTTAGCAAAGGCTGGCCGCTCACTCCGTTGGACAATTTCCTCAGCTGGGTGGCAGGCGGAGTCTCCCATTAGCCACCTGCCTTGCCTCATAGGCACTTCCTCCCGGGCCCCCGATGGATCCGTTTCCTGACCGAGAGCTCCGGCGGCGGCTCAACCCGTGTCAGACTCTAAAGCATCGGGCCTTGGGCGGACTCTGCCTAGCTTCATGAGTCCACTGCCTAAAAAACTGGTCCACCTAGCTGTCTGCCTCTCACACAGCCGTTTCATCCTCTGGTCTTTATCTTGGCCCTTAGTTTCCTTGTCTTCAGCTCACAGCCTGCTGAGGACAAAAGTAGTTATAGGTCATCAAAGTACTGTTTGTTTTAACGTGAGAAAAATAAGTCATTGACTAAGGGTTTATGTTTGAGATTAAAAAAATTTATGATTACATATAGCTGCATTTCTTATAAGATTTTAGGCATAGAATAATGCAGGTAAACACTGAAACAGTAAGACACTCAGCTGAGAAAAGCAAAGTCTAGATGGGATAGAAATTTTAGCTCACGTTGCCTCTCTTGGACCAAAGGCACTACCTGGAACATCATGCTGAAAAGGGAGTCCCCCTCCACTTTGGCTAAGTGGGAGTGCAGGCTGTGATGAATCCTATAGGACTGCTGTGGTGCAAATCTATGCCAGTTGTCCTCAAGGAAGCACCTGGCTTCCTGTAGCCACATCCCTATGGAGTGCTTGAAAAGGGTTACACATAGGTTCTTTATCTCTTGCAACACAGGACTAAAAGCACACATCTCCAAAATTAAAGCTTTGAGTTGGCATTTTTTGAGGAACTTAAAACTCCAAATAACCGAAGTAGTCCAGCTTGGGCTCACAGCTTGACCATGCTTCAGCTAGATGCTTTAAGAATAGACCAAGAAACAGTTTTAAGAATTGGGTGAGCCTGCACTGAAAGTATATAATGAATGAAACACAGAGCCCAACATAAAATAGAAATGGGGCAACCCGAGATTCGCTTGTAATGAAGACTTTGGCCGTAATTAAAAAAAGGGGATGGGTATGTCAAGTTTGTCAAGGGGGAAACTTTCTAAGGGCAGGGACATACTGAAAACTAGGCTCTATGCTTTGAGAAAGAAACCGTGAAAGCAGAAGTGGAGGAGATAAGGAGCCTTGCTAATGAGGTATCAGTAATTAAAATGGAATTAATTGAATACTTCCAGGGACACGGTTTTGTTGATACTTCAGCATTCATCCAAAAGCCAATTCAGAACCGAGACTGATGCAGCAGCGTACCTTGGGACTTACCAAAGCGGTAGGGTATTTCAAATATGGTCCATAACATTGGGCTAGCAAGGGCCTTCTTCCTTACCACCTGAGTCACCCAGGAGATTACCATTTCCTTAAACTGTCACTTCCACATGGGATTCTGGTGAGTCAGAAGCCAACAGCAGGTGCTGGGACTCTGAGGGTGAGTTCCCTCCCTCCTTGTCCCGAGTCCTCTCTGGACCTTTGTGGGACAGCTCTCAGGCTCAAGCAAGTTTTGTGGCCTCACAAACAGTGTATCTGGAATGAAACCTAGAGTCATCACTAATAGAAAGCAGGCTGCCTCATGGTCTGATAATGCAGCCCAGGTGTGAATACTTGAAACAGATACATACGCTAAAGTTGAATACTTATGAAATTAATATATTTTAGCAATATTTGAAAAAAAGTAACCAAGTGAAACGAGGCAGAAGATGTTCAGAAATGTTTTATTTTTTCACTGGTTGACAACGAAATGATCATCTGAACGGTAACGCTCACACTGTGTCCTGAAGTAAGACACACAATCTGCTGGCAGGGAGAAAAGAGGCGAATTTCATGGTTTCATCTGTTACGCTCTTGCAAAAAAGAGCAAATCAGGCCAGTTTTAAATTTAACAAACAGAAACATTACTGGTGCTTATTATACCAACACATTTTTTCATATTGAGAACTACCCCATGAAGCAAGCATTAACCTCCTCGAAGATGGGGAAGCCGAGGCTCTGAGAATATCTGAGATCATTAAATCACATTATTCAGGAAGAGGCACAGCCAGGATGAGAATCCAGATCTTAAAAGCACATGGCTTATAAATTGAAAGAAAAAAAAAAAAAAGTCTTCCACTACAAGTGTAATACGTTTATCAGAGAGTATTTGGAAGAGTAGGAGGAAGGAAGAAAATCAATTCCTGACCCTGACTCCCAGTGGTGGCAGCACCAACATCGTGGTCCTCTCAGTCTGGTCCTTTTGCTGTGTAGTATTTTTTAATGTGAGTGTGAACACATGGCATATCGAAATGGACAGATCAGTATTTTAAACATTATCACCTTCTGATTTTAACAGGAAAGCACAAACAGCATAGAAAACTTGGAGACTACTGAAAACCATAAAGGAAATTACAGTCACCTGGAATCTCATAAGCTAAAAATGACCATAGTTAATATTTTCCTATATTCCCTTAGGTTTTTTTTTTTTAAATCAGTTTTCTTTACATAGCAAAGCTCATAATTTATAAGATTTTTAAGTAGAGTTAACAAAGGTCTAGGTGGATGATGACAAAGAAGAACTTGGTGACAGATCGTATTTGCCACACAACTGATTCAGTGGGTTTTTAGAAGATAATCCTTATGCTCCCTGTACAATGACGTGGCCATCAAAAATGTGTAAGCCTGAAAATGCCGGTGCTAAGTTTCCGCTAAAGCGAACCCCGATGTGGATTACCATGAGTTTTTGTTTCTGTCTACATCCAAGTGAGTATAAATCATTTACATGATAAGAACACTCCATGCATAAAGCTTTTAATACCATATAAAAGCTCTTCTAGGAAGAGACAGGAGCTGTAGTCTGATGAAAAGATTTTTACGAATCCTACAGTGAAAAATATACCACGAGACTTAAACATTTTGCACACTGAAATTTACATAAAAGAGGCTTAGCCAGAAGATAAGGCATCACCGACAAAGGCTCAAGGAAGTTCCAAATGGTGTTAAGAGACCTGATCTTCTATTCGTAAAAATCCCAAAGAATTTATTATCAATACTAAAAACTTCCATTGTACATCAAGGAGTAAACCTTTATGACAGCTATGAAGGAAAAACAGCGCTGCAAGTTTACACATGTTACTGAAGGCAAAGGGTAAGAGCAAAGGAGAACTCCAGCCGGAATGTTGGTTATGTTTATACAGCTTCCTCTTGATTTAAACACTCATGACACACTGAATGAACTGAAAGAAAGAAAGGTCCACGTTATCCGGCAAACATTGCAACAAACTGTAGCTTCTTTTTAGGCTGTTTACGTTTTGCTTCTCTAATTTGAATTTCGGATCACGAGAGATCCCTTTCTAAAATTCAGAGTACATGATGGGCGGAAAGGTTCATTTTGTAGGGGAAGCCGTCTAATATAAAACCCAGTGGATTCCTCTTCTTACAGGAAGCAGATCTTACTTCAGTGGATAAAGAATTATTTAAATTCCAAATATCTCAGACTCGAGAAATGGCCACAGTGAAAGGTTCCTACTCAGAACTAACAGTTCCATCACACGGGGGCCTCCAGACGACACAGTATTATCCCACCACTCACAGAGCACCCTCAACAGTTTATTCCCTTAAAATCTGCTTTATTAAAATAAATCCTAAGCATGCAACTCTATGTATGCACAGAAACAGAATATATGACCTTTTCTTGGCAATTCAGAAACCCAGGTTTAGACGCATCAGTATTCTGCTGTGAACTGTCTGCTTCACTCTAAGCCCCAATAGGCTCTGCTTTTCTATCAATTTTCTTTGTCATTCTTCTGACCCGAGGGAGGCACTGTGTGCTAATGCCCACAGCACTCCTACAAAGCCAAGCTGATCATCCCTTTCAGGTAGAGGGGAATTGAGGATCAAGACATTTAAAATTTCTTACGGGACCCCGTGGGAGGCCAAAGCCCGGGCACTTTCCACTCCACAGGCCGCCTCTCCATCTTTGGAAACAGTGCCGGGACTGTCACCAGAGATGCTAATGCACACTAATGAAAACACACCTTTAAGCAGAAGAAATAAACATATTTACACACACGCCCTTTTAAAATTACCAGAACTGTGGCAGCTGCCAAAATGAAAATATGTTCACTCTTGCAGTGTGTAATAGAGAAACCTTTTAGTGCATTCAGTTACCGCAGTGCTTTCCATTCTGAACGTGTTTTTTTTTTTTAAATCCATGGCTGAGCAAAGAACAGAAAAACAACTAAACCTCTCCCCAGCTTTCTTGTGTATATCCATCTAAGGCTATCCAAGATGGCACCTGGCTACATTCACATTGGTCATGTGGCCTTGTCCAATCTCATGTAGTGTGACGGTTTAGTAAATACATTGTTTTAAACTGTGGCTGAAGTCTCTGCCTTACATCCTCAATGAAGAACATGGGTGTGTCAAGTACAGCTTTGAGCTTTTCAACTGACTTCTAAGTGACAGGGGTATTTGTTCAACGAAGGCAAAAACAGACACAACATCTGCATGGTGTTTTCCAAGGACATTTCTGACTGACATCTCCCAAGAGCCCAGGGAAGAAGGCATTACTACTTCCTCTCCTCAAACAGTCTTGGAGCAATGAAGAAACTTGCCTCTGTGACCCAGCCAGGAAATGGGACCAGCTGGGCTTTGAACCGAGTCTTTCAATGCAAATCAAACAGTGGTTTATGAATAAGACTAGTAATAAATGAAATTAATAAATTCTGAATGGTAACTCCTGATCATTTAATTCTTCATTACAGCATCCTTAAGAATGCTC